ATTAATATATTTTTTGAACAAAGACTTTAAAAAGGCATCTTTTGAAACCCTTCAAAATTAAAACAATCATATAGTATACACTCATATCTATTCTTTTACTCAAACACTCAAAGCTAATCTGTGCTATTAGAAGTCAGGAAAGTGGAAAGGGGTGGGGGTGGGGGGGCCCTATAGTGCTGGTAATATTCTGTTTCTTCATTTGAGTGCTGGTCACACTTTATTACATGCACACTTTACTTTGATATGAAAACTCTGTTTCTTTCCAAAGACAACAGTGAAGAAACTTACAAAGATGCTCTAACTCCACAACCATGTTTGTGTATACTAGAGCTGTGCAATCTTTCTATTCTAAATATGTAAATGTGTTCCTTGCCTAATTTTGTCAATAATCTCGGCTCCCTAGTTCGAATTCAGATGCACACAGAAGAGATCATTTACTTATTACAGTAGTCCTGTAATTCCTCTGTGAATGTCTTCTGAAATTTGAGGTCAGTCGTAACTTTCCTTTGGAACCTACCTCAAGGACCTCTCTCCATACACCTACCCTAAGAACTCCTATAGTATTTACTCTTTTCATCTAACATTTTTATCTATCTCCAGAACCAGGTAAGTCTTTCTGGTCAATATGCTCAGTAACTATTGATAACATTTACTGGAAAACAAGAATATGTATTCTTTACAGAGGGGTGACATACTAGGGGACTCCAGATGCATCTAAATCTGTGCCTGATGGACAGAGACAAAAGTCTTTACAATAGTAAAATAAAACAAGAAATGCACCCCAAACAGTATTACTTCAACAGGCTTTGATTTTTTTTATTTTATTTTATCTATAAACTTTCCTTGCTCATCTCACACCCAGAACCCCAAAAGGCACACTATTTAAATAAGTTACGCAGAAGTATAACTTATGTAACTATAAAAACAAATCAACCACTTTTCTATTAAAAAAAATTGTTCAAATACTTTTATTGGTTTTTAGCACAGAATTTCATCTTTTTCTTTAAATCAAAAAGAAGTTTAAAAGTATAATCATTAAGTTATAAAGGGGAAACAAACTTAAAGTCTTAAAAAAACAAACAAACCAACATTCAAAGCTTGTAGTAGTCATGCTATATAATTTTTTATACCTTTACTGTGCATCTTTTAGATAAATTATACTATACATCTTACATAGTTAAGAGCCTTAAATGTTCTAAAGAGTTTTGTCCACAGCAGTGTTCTCAACATTTGGCAATATCTGAAGACATTTTTAGTTGATACGACTGGCAGAAAGAGAGGGAGGGCAAGGAGGTAGGAGGGAGGGAGGGTTGGCTGTGCTACTAGCTACTATCTAAAATAATCTAGATCAAGTTAGATTGAATATATTAAATATATATTAAACGATACAAAAATCCATTTAAATGCTTAAGGAAAACGTATGCAATATTAGTATTCATGAAACCAATTTGCTAATGACATAAATTTAAATATTCCCTATGAGAATCCTAGAAAACGTTACAAAGTATAACTACAATATGAAAAAAACTACAGGTACCAAACAGCACAAGAACAAGCAAGAAAAGAGTAAGTGCACTGATTTAAGGATATTTTACTTCATTGAGCTTTGAATTTTAAAATATTTTGCATAGTGAAATACAAGTAAATCTTTACGTTAATTAGTTAAAACTTATATTAATGTTTACACTAACAATTAAATTAGGTTGTGTTGAAATCCTTTAACAAGTAATACAAACCAAGATCTATTATTTTTAAATAATTAAAAGCAGGCCTATCCTTGGCAAGTCAGACAGTGTGGTACAACATAAACACAAGCAGACCTAGATTCAAGTCCCAAAGCTTTATGTTTGCAGACAAATAATTTAACTTCCATGAATATCTTCTAAGAAATAGAAAATCGAATTCAGAGACCTGTTCTTGAGAGTTAGCAAAAATGTATTAAAAAAATTGTACTGACAGCCAGGCTAAAAATGGTAGTTGTTAAAAGCAATAATAGTAAATAACCTATGAATACAGATTATAGTTTTGTTATATCCTCACAATCAACAAGTCATTTATGTAATTCAACTCACAAAATTAGAATGTACTTTAAATAAATTTTCCATTCCTAGCAACTTTGAAACATTACTTGAAATTCTCACTCAGAAAAATATTTGACAGATAAAGGATACATTTCCAAACACAGTCTCAAGGAAAAATGGCCTAGGTGGTGCCTTTAGTATTTTATTTGTTTTGAAAAAGTAACATGTTCCCATGACTCAAAATTCAAAGGGGATCTTTTGATGTGTGTCTCCCCAGACACCCAATTACCAATTTGTCATTAACGCTTTTATCTATATAAATATATTTCTCCCCTTCTGATAAAAATGGTGGCCTCCTTCACACTATTCTGCACCTGGCCTTTCACATTTGCTTTATCTTCTAAGCTATATTTTAATTAACAATACACTTCAAGAATGGCCAATTATAACTTCTTATTGCCAGAATTCAGCAAACATTAGCAATCATTACAAAGGCACTTAAAAGTCGCCCCACCCTCAAATCAAACAGTATTCTTAGTAAACACAAGCATATGAAACAAACTTTGGTAAACTGGAAATTTATACAGGTGACATGAAAAACTTGATTACTAGACCAACCACTCAAGATAGTGCATTTACACACTTAAAAAGGAAACACACGGACTGTACTATAAGTCCCTCAATGAGTTGAAAATAATTCACTTATAGAAGAACTGGTCCTACTAAAATACAGATGAAATAAAATATTCGACAAATAAAGCTATTTATTGGTTACATTTCAAAATTAAGTTTTCTGACCCTTTCTTAAATGTCCTTTGAAATATACTTTCTTGAAGAAGTTTCCTTCCAGAGTTATAAGGGTACTGTTCTTTAAAAAAAATTTGTTTGTTTGCATTTCCTCTTTTCTTCCTCTGAAACACTAAGAAACTTACTTGAAGCAAGGCTTCACCATCCCTTACATATAAAGAACAGTATTATTTTAACAATATGCATTACTAGAGCAATACAAGATTTCTTTTAAGCTTCAATTTAAGTACTAAGAATATCATGGTGAAAAGTCATCACATATAAGCAAAGAGACCACGTAAATTACAAGAGCAGCAACTTGCCACTTTTAAGTATTAGAAAATAAAGTGAATAAAGCATTAGAAGTTTTATATTAAGTTTCAGGATTGTACAACCTTATTATAGAAGAAATGTTTTAAGCTGTTGGTGACAATATGAGCTGCAATCTTTTGTTAGGAATATATACGTCAACTATCCTGGAATGTTTTCTTATTAAATAAAAAATACAGTCATTGTATCACTGTATATCAGTACAGACATTTATGACTATTTTTGCAATACGAAATACAAAGTCATCCTTCTATTCAGAATTTTGGCACTTGAACGAACACAGAGGTCAGAGTTCATACACATGCTCTGTAAAACCGATCATTACTTATTATATACTACATTCAATAAATCTAGTATTTGTCATTTTTAAATAGTTTTAAAGAATTACTTTCTCCAATTGGAAAGATACATAATCACTATAGGCTCAGTAGCAAAAAAAAAAAAAAAAAAAGCTCAAATGCTATCAGCTTTATGTCAGTTATTTATCACAGACTTAAGAGTGCTGAATTTCATAAATCATTGAGATTATCAAAGTATCAACATAAGAGAAAAATACAAATAGCAATGATACATTCAATAATGGCATGTGACATCTTGAAAATAATAATCATTTCAGTATTGCTTATTAGTTTTTCTTTGTTAAATCCAAGGAGAAAAAACAACCTGGCATTCTTGTTGATTTGGGTATGAAAAATTTTACTGACACTTGCATGGTTCTGAGTCAAATTACTAGAACATTTTGAATATCTCATATAAATAAATGTGGCTAACACTAGAGTATCTAAATTCTGCAAGACTCAAGAGCAGTTTGAGACAAAAAAAATTTTTTTAATCATTTCAGATATATTATGATACATCTACTCATTTGATAAGGAACTATAACAACGTATTAATCTGGCAAAATCCCATGTGGTCAATAGGGCTGTTTTTCAAAAGTAAGAATCAAGTTAACTATGAGGGACATCATAATGAAGTTTCATAGCACAACAGTCACAGAGGCATTGTCTTAGGAGAGGCTTTCTGATCTGTAAACTTCTGTAAGTTGTAAATAATATTTTGAAATAAGCTTCTCATACACGCCCATTATTTTTTCCGAGCTAAAAATATTTAAATGCCTTTCACACAAAAAACAACTTGCCTTTACCCAGTCAAAAGCTTTACGTGTCAACAGAAAAGAGGCCTAAGAATCGGCAGTAAATGAAAATGAGACGATGGTCTAGATTCGGATTAATTTTCTATTTCAGGTGAAAATTCCCTTATCCCCCACTCAAATAAGATAGTATCCCATTATGTCTCCCCTTCTCGCCCAACACCCCACTAAGAAGGAATAACTCTGAACGTCCTTCTCCTTTCATCAAATACCTAGGGACTTCCTTTAAGGAAAGGACAGTGGAGGCCAGACAGGCTATAACCCAGAATACCCTTAAAAGTGTGGGCCTTTGAGCGGCGCGGCTCTCAGGATCCAGTTACCACCTTTCCCCTTCCCCCAACCCACTTCCCGGGTTTTCTCAGGCTCGGCCTGCTCCCTCCCCACTCTCCAGCCACACTTCCAGCTGTTGCCACTGCCTCAGGGCTCTCTCTAGAGCTCACACCCGCCAAGTGTCTCCTTCTCCGTCTGCCCCCACCCCCCCAAAAAAACCATGTTCCTTTCCACAGCACCCGCCCGCGAGACCGTCCATCCCAGGGCCCTGGGAGGGGAGGGGAAGGTGGCGGAAGGAGGGGGGAGACTGCTGTTTCCCCACAGGCAGAAGGGCGGCCGCGAGGAGGGCCACCCGGGGGTTACCGGGGATATTGGGAGTCGCCGCTGCCAGGGCCCTCCCGCCCTGGGCTGAGGTGGGGGATGTCCCGGAGTTCATTTCTGACCTCCTCGCTCTTCAGCACCTCCTTGAACTCCCGCTTGATTCGCTGCACCGCGATGTTGGCCATGTCTCCGCCCGCAGCTGATTCGTACCCGCCTCCTCCGCCACCGCTACGACCACCGCCACCGCCGCCACCTCTTCCTCCACCGCCTCCTCCTTCGGCGATTCACACCCGAGCACACGAACACTGCCACTGCCACCCCGGCCGCCTCGCTCTCTTCAGTATGGAATCACCTCGGTGCCCGGCCACCAAAATGGCGCCGGCTCCGCGCATGCGCAGGACGCTGACCCGACCGGGCGGCGCAGCCGCTCCCGTTGTAGCCCCATACGTCTCAGCCGCGAGCCGGGAGCTGCGAGCTCCGCGTCGCGCCGCGCGTCTCTGCTGGAGTTGCGGCCGCGTGGCTCCGCCCTGCCGGCGTTTGGGGCCTGAAGGGTGCGGCCTCCGTGCTGGCCTGCCGTACGGGGAGCCTCCCGGGTCGCCTCCTCTTCCTCCGCCTTTCTTCAAACCTGTGTGGTATGGTCGGGGCTTCCAGCTCCCGGTCAAAGGCTGGAGTGCAACCTGACGGGTTCATACGGCGCCACTCGGCTTGGAACACTGCCCTGAACTCAACCAGACCCAGAACCCACGGGCTTAATGCGCTTGGCTGTGTGTATGAAAACACTATCCCAGAACTCAGACTGGCCCGTTTTCTGCTACTTATAGGCCCAGAAAATCCACCGCTGTCCGTTTTTGTTCTGAAGCCATTACAGTGCCACTATTACGATCATGCCAGGTATTACAAATCATTGAATTAAGTATGGTCTTTGTTGGGTCCCATGCTCCATGGAGATGTCTGAGGTGGGTTTTAGAAGCCAGATGTTGATCTTTGACCTACTTTGACCTAGCCGTGGATCTGAAGCCATAGTTTTTCACTTTGAGTGTACATCGGAATCCATTGTTTAAAAAATCGGATTGTTGGGCCCCATCGTTGGAGTATGGGTAGGCCTAACTGCATTTCTAACAAGTTCCCAGATGCTGCTGCCCCTACTGCTGGCTCAGAGACCATACTATGAGAACCACTGAACTAAAGCATGTGAAAATAATTTATATGTATATTAAAGTGAAAAATGGAGAAATAGATGTTTCCTAGGGGAGAAGGGCAGCTTTACTTCTGTAAGCCTAGGGCCTACAACAGTATCTGGCGCTGGTAGGTACTTAATAAATATTGAATGAATAAATGAGTAAAGATAAGAGTAAAATGTTTTAAGTGGAAAGTTTGAAAGGCAATGTGAAGTGGTTGCAAGAGTTTACAGTCAGTAATATGGTTTTGGTGATTAGATACTTTGAATGGAACATTTCAGAATAATAAAGTTTACTAGAAGTTTATATTTTATGCATTTATTTCATCTAACCAATTAGTAAAGTACCCTATTAGAAAAATATCACAAATACACTGTCTTAGCAAATATTACTAAGATTGTGGCAGCATAAAAAAGGAAATAGCCACAGGGAGTGAATCATTCAGTGGAGGCACATGGCAAAAAAGGTTTTCTTGAACTCCTGCCACAGGAACCAAGAGGAAATTTTTAATTCCAGCTCTCCTCCATGCTAGCTCTCTTAGCCAACCTTGGTTTTCTCACCTGGAAAATAAGAAAGCTGGATTGGGTGATCTCTTTCAAGTTTTAAAAGTTCAGAATTCTAAAGCATCATGGGGAAACCTTTCCCTAAACGGACTAAAGTAAATTATAAAAACCCTTTTAGCAGAGCCCCCTAGTGGTCCTAAGAGGAACCAGTTATATATGTGGGTCATGGTACAGTAAATTATTAGTGTACTGTAAATCGTGCAATAAATGCTATGTGTATTTGTTCCAATACATTAATAATTACTGTGAATGTGCAAAATTTTTTTTGAGTATTTTACATTTATCACTTTCATTCAGTCTCCAATCTTCATCTTGGAACTTCGAAGAAATTTGCAACATTCGAATCAGAAGGGTACTAGTTAGAAGAGTTTGGGAAAGGGGTTTGGTAATTTTTAAATGCACATAATCATTGGTCTTGAAATTCCACTTCCAGGAAGTCATTCTACAGTTCTTCCAGAGAATGAGTGCATATTAACTGATATAAGGCAATTCTAAAAATACATTTTAAGGGAGGAAAAAAGGACTATGCTAAATGTAATGTGGTATCCTGAATTGGACCCTAGAACTGAAATAACATAACTAGTAAAATCTGAATAAGTTCTGTAATTTAGTTGGTAGTATTGTACAATGTTAATTTCTTAGTTTTGACATGGTATTAGGGTTATTTAAGATGTTGACATTAGTAGAAGTGAGTAAAGAGTATACAAGACTCTCTGAAATGTTTCTGTAAATCTAACATTATTCCAAAAGAAAAAGTTTACTTTTTCGAAAGCACGATGCAATCCATATTGTGTATAGTATACCACCATATGTGTGAAGGAAGAAAGGAATATTTTTGTGTATATAATGCTTGTGAATCCATAAAAATATCATTGGAAAAATACATAAGAAACTGACAACAGTGGTTATCTCTGAGAAAGCAGCTTAATTAAGTTGCCTTGGGGAAGGCAAAGTGGGAGACTTTTCACCATGTATCCTGTTGTATATTTTATCTATTCAAAACTAAATTTTTAAAAATGAGTTTCAGTAATGCAATTATATGTTCTTCATTGTTAAGATCAAGTCCTGATTACTTCATTAACTAATTAATTAAACAGCTATTTATTGAATGTCTACTAGGTGCCAGGCATGACTTAGGCCCTAGAAGGATATCAGTGAACAAGAGACAAAGAAAACCTGGAACTGTAGGATTTACATTCCAGCAGGGATGGGAGAATTAATTTTAAAGTTTAGTCTGAAGACACCTGGGGCCCCCTGAGACGTTTTTGGGAGTCAATCTGCAATGCCCAAACTATTATCATAATAAAACTAAGACATTATTTGCCTTTTTACTGCGTTGACATTTGCACTGATGATGTAAAAGCAATAGTAGGCAAAAACAATGACTGTAGTAGTAATTTATTAATGCCACATACTCACTATTGAAAAATGCCACTTTTGGGCCGGATGAGTGGCACGTTGGTTAAGAGCTGGCTTGGGACGCCAGAGGGCCCCTGTTGGGATCCCACATATGAGGGCCAGTGACACTGCCCTCTATATCTAAGATGCTGAACAACAGCTCAACCTGGAGCTGGGCCGCTGTGAGTCACCGGTGACGGCGTAGGCTGCAGCCCCTGCTGCAGTGGGTTGCCATGGGCTACGGTGTGTAGCCAGGAGCCAGCGTGAGCGGTCCTCAAGCCGCCGTGAGCGGCCGTCCAGAAGCCGGCGACTGATCTGCCTCGCCTGGGAAGAGCGCAATGATGGTGCCAACTTGGGCCAGTGAAGCAACGTCCTCCACAACTAGACTGAAGCACAAAAGGACAGCAACTTCTCTGTCCCCCTCCCCCAATTCCCCAGTGCTTTTCCCATCCCCCAATTCCCCAGTTAAAAATAAATAAATAAATAAAAATGCCACTTTAGAATGTTTTTGGTGAAGCAGTAGAGATGATTAATTTTTATTAAACTTAAACTTTTGAGTACATATCTTGTTAATATTCTGTGTGATACACGTGAAGGATGCATAAAGTTCTTCTGTACACCAAGGTATGTGGTAAAGCACTTGTGCAATTGGTTGAGTTACAAGCTGAACTAGGCACTTTTTTCATAGAACACCATTTTTACTTGAAGTAATGATTGAGACAAATTATGTTCATTAGGAATTGGGTATTTGCAGACATTTTATCAAAAATGAATGATGCGAGCCTGTCACTTCAAACTGGCAGAATTTGTTGCCAATGATAAAATTCAAACTTTCAACTGAAAATTAGAGATTTTGAAAACACATCTGCCACTTTGACTTGACAGCTTCCCAATACACTTGAAGACATTTCTGATTAAACTGGCAGTATTACAAATGTGATTGCTTGAAATTGTACAGTGAAATGTGTTAACATTTGGAAGATCTGTATAAATCAGTGAGCCAATATTTTCCAAATGACCAATGCATGATATTACAGAATTAATGTATGGGTAAAACATCCATTCAAGGTTTGAGAGAGACCAATGGATTTTAATGTAACAGTACAAAAAGTTCATTGGTAATGTTTCAGATTCCACATTGCAACTAACCTTTAAGAAACGACCATTTGTCTAGATTTATAATAGTATTAAAGAAGAATATCCACAATTATCTGAAAAAGTTATTAAAATATTTCTTCCCTTTCCAACTATGTATCTAGGTGAGGCTGGGTTTTCTTTATACATTTCAACCAAAACAACATAGGCAAAGTTGAATGCAAAAGCATATATGAAAATCCAGCTGTGTTCTATTAAGCCAGGTATTAAAGAGATTTTGTTAGGAAAATGTAGTTATTTTCCACTTAAAATATTTATGTAAGCATGTAATGGATTTATTATAGTTATTAATAAATGTTTCAATAATTTCTCAGTTTTAATTTCTACCACAATGTTGTTTAACCCTCATAAATAAATGCTCTTTGGAATGCTCGATATATTTTTTAAAGATTTTATTGGAGAATTGGGGAGGGAACAGCATTGGGGAATCGGGGATGAGGAACAGACAAGTTGCTGTCCTTTCGTTCTTCAGTCTAGTTGTGGAGGATGTTGCTTCACTGGCCCATGTTGGTATTATCATTGCGTTCTTCCCGGGTGAGGCAGATCGGTTGCCTGCCTCTGATGGCCGCTCGTGGCGGCTCTTGGCAGCTCACACCGGCTGCCAGCCACTCAAGCTGGCTGCCGGCCACTCACAGTAGCTTACAGCAGCCCACTGCAGAACCACTGCAGCCTACACTGTCGACGGCAACTCACTGCAGCCCAGCTCCAGGTTGAACTGTTGTTCCCCATCTTAGCTGTAGAGGGAGCAGTGTCACTGGCCCATGCAGGATTCGAACCGGCGGCCCTGCTGCTCAGAGCTTGTGCTCCCAAGCCAACTCTTAACCAAGGAGCCACTCAGCCAGCCCAGAATTCTCAATATTTTTGAAGAGTGTAAAAGAATCCTGCGTACATTTAAGTATACTGTACTGCTTAGACATAGGCTTACATCTAAAAAGTTACCCACTTTCAGAATAGTTTAGAAAAAGGCACATATATATATATATATATATATATATATAAATGTTGTAAAATTGGTTTTAGATTGATGGAGGAAAGTTAACCTGGTAACTTTTCTGTTGTCCCTAGAACAATGTGTTTTGATGTGTTGATTCACATAAAAAAAATACAGTAAGGCATAATAATGCTTTGCTGACCCCTGATAATAATCATCAACATTGGATATGTGAAAGTCTTCCTTTTTGTATCTCTAGTTACTGTTACTGCTTTTGAGATTCAAATTTCCTGCTCTTCAAAATGTAGAGCAATATTTTTTTTCTGTGGCCCTTTCTTGACCGTATGTTTTGCCAGCTTTTGGAGATTTTTTTTCTCCCTGTCTCTCACCACTGCCTACTCTACCCAAGCCTCATTTAACTCTCTTTTTGAAACACCCAGTCATAAGTCTAAGATAATTTTGCTTTTTTTCCCCTTTTCACTGAGTTCTGCCCTTTCCATCTTGTTAGCTTCTCTCCCCTACTTTTCCCCAGCTCTAGCATCAAGGGTGGAAAGCAGCATTTAGATCCGCAATCAAAGTTCTTTTTTCTTTACATTTTATTGTTAGTTTCAGGTGTACAGAACAATGCAATAGTTATCCTTTTCATCCTCACAAAGTGACAACCCCTCTCCCTCCCCACAGTCGAAGTTCTAAACTTAGCTCCAGGCCAGTGGGCACCACAGTATTGATTGTAATGTACACTGTAGTCCATCCAAATGTAGAGAATAGATCAGAACTCCCACCATTGTGACTTTCAGAATTATCTACAGTGTGTTGTGGAAAGCTGGTTTTAATAGCACAGAATGTGTTTCCTTGTCTTAAGTTACTGATTAGGATCCTGTCAGGCACAGAGTTTCTTTAGGTGGGAGTCTTTTTAGGAAAGGATTTTATAATTCCACTCTGTCCAAGGAATATGCAACTACAAGTGGGACATAGCTATGGGGACTTTACACTTCACATTCAAGACACCAGCTCCCTATCTAGTTTTCCAGTAGACTGCCCTCTGCTGACCATCCCAATTGTTTTTACTGAGCTGGCTAATTCTTTTCTGTCCTCTAAAGTATGAATCCTCTATTTTAGAGCCTAGAATCACTGGGGCCCCAATGCAAAGATCCCAATCCTCCAAAGTCACTCTTCAAAATCCCCTTCCTTTGGTCATCTCAAAGGCCACGAACCGTCCAACATGGGAACGTCCCACTAACTAAAATCCACATCTGGCTTCTACCGACTCAACCCCTCAATTATGTCAATTATTTATCATTCATTTAGAATACAGATTTCCTTAAGTCATATAAGCCTCATTAAGTCAGCCAGATAGTCTTCATTTGGTGCTCCAAATCTACTCTCCAATGTTCTCTACTATGCCCCTAGATGCTGGAGGTATGATCTACATTGTTGTCTCTATATCAACAAGATGTCCTTACCTTCTGGATTCCAGTTGAGTGTAGCAAATGGAAGGCTCTGGCAGGAAATGAAGCCAAGGGTTAACAATGCTTCATTTCTCTACCAAAGGCTATAGTTCCTGTCCAATAGCCCTCCCCTTCAGCTACAGCTACTACTATAGCTCTTTCAGGATTCTGGTAGTCTTGCTCCCCTTACCCCATTAAGCCCGGAGCTACCAAGAGCTCCCTGCTGTTGTTAACCTTTGTCAGCTGCCTTTAACTTTTATAAATAGCCTCTTCAACAAATTTTTCTGATTAACCACCTTCGTCCTGCCAAGACCCGTTCTCAAACACCAAGGCACAACCATAATTTCTTACTCTCCTGGATATCGCTGTCATTGAGGAAGCTAAGCACTCTGTTTCTACTGTTTTGCAGCCTCTGCATCAAGATCACTCCGAGGAAGGAGCTCAATGTTACAACTTTTCCCCACTAGAGGGAAGACCAAACTCTGAGGGACAAACTGAGAATGGCCACTGCAGGTATTGCTCTATGAATGACAGATAAATATCTTTCCCTTCCTTGGTACTCCCTGGAGTGAAGAGTCACACCCACTTTCACCTTTCTGTAACTGAGCATTCAATTGCACCATCCAAGGGAATGGCTCCTTTCCAGGGTGAAAAATCCAGCTTTTAGGTCCCTCTTCCCAGAGGCTTAAGGAAGCAAATGCAAAAGAATTCCCCCGTGCTCTCTAAAGTTAGCAAGCACCATGATTTAGGCACTAACAGGAGACCATACAGAGTCCAAGCGTCTCTGCATACGAGAGCTGTAATGAAAAACATAATCCAAAGTAGTAGGAGACATACTTACCTAATAAACATTTCAACAAAAGCATTGTGCTCAGAATTTGATTCAACTATGTTTTATACTTCCTATGATTTTGATGTATTCACAATATTATGAATTCTTACACATCTTTAACCTAATAGCATAATATTTTATTAAGTTAACATTAGGAAGGATGTTAGTTTTAAAGAAAAGCAGTTTAAATAGCATTCAGTAATTTATTATTCCATAATTTTGTATATTTTATTAAGGAAGATACATCTCATATTTCTCATCTGAAAAGTGCAGCAAAGCACTTAGATACTAAAACAATTAGAGCTTCAAATATGTCTAGACTAGTATGTAGACAAATTACATGTACCGACAAATTACATGTACCGATAAATTGAATTATTTTTTAAAAACATCTAAACCTTATTCTACACACTAGACAATTAGATTTTTAGATTTCTGTCATTATATAAAACTAAGTATGAAGGCTTTTTATACAGGCTCTAAATAGGCTTCCTTGCAACACCTCCCAAGCTTTTTATTTATTTTTCTTAATTGTGGTAAAATATACATAACATAAAACTTATCCTTTTAACCATTCTTTTTTTTTTTTAAGCTGAGCCATCCTGCCACCTGTTGGCAGCTCAGCGGCTGCTCAGCTCGGGCCGGGAATCGAACTGCTGTTGCTCAGAGCTCAAACTCTTGAGCGAGCTCTTAATCAACTGAGCCACTTGGCCGACCCTAACCATTCTTAAGTGTACAGTTCAATGGCCTTAAGTACATTCACACTGTTGTATAACCATCACCACCATTCATTTCTGGAACTTTTTCATCATCCCAAACTAAAACTGTATACCCATTAAACAGTAACTCCCCATTCTTCCCTCCTCTACGTCTCTGGTATCCACTATTCTACTTCCTGTCTCTATGAATTTGACTATTTTAGGTACCTCATATAACTGGAATCATACAATATTTGTCCTTTTGTGCCTAGCTTCTATCACTTATAATGTTTTCAAGGTTCATCTATGTTGTAGCATGTATCAGAATTTCCTTCCTTTTTAAGACTGACTAGTATTCCATCATATGTATATACCACATTTTGTTTATCCATTCATCATCCATCGATGGATACTAAGGTTGTTTTTATCTTTTGGCTACTGTGAATAATGCTATGAACATAGGTGTGTAAATTAGCTCTTCAAGACCCTGCTTCAACTCTCTTGAGTATATAACCAGAAGTGAAATTGCTGGATCAAGTGATAATTCCATGTTTAATTTCTTTAGGAACCACCGTACCACAGTGGCTGAACAGTTTTCATTCCCACCAGCAGCGTAGGAGGGTTCCAATTTCTCCACATCCTTATCAACACTTGTTACTTTCTGTTTTTTCTTTTTGCTTTTTTATAATGGCCATCCTAATGGGTGTGAGTGTGAGTTGGTATCTCATTGTGGTTTTGATATGCATTTCCCTATTGATTAGTGATGTTAAGCATCTTTTCATGTGCTTATTGGTCATTTGTATAACTTTGTTGGAGAAATAGCTATTAAGTTCTTTGCTTACTTTTTTTTTTTTTTAAGATTTTTATTGGGGTATTGGGGGGAAGGGAACAATGCTGGGGAATTGGGGGAAGGGGAACAGACAAGTTGCTGTTGTTTTGTTCTTCAGTCTAGTTGTGGAGGACGTCGATCCACCGGCCTAAGTTGGCACCATCATTGCGCTCTTCCCGGGCAAGGCAGATTAGTCGCCGGCTTCTGGACGGCCGCTCACTGCAGCTGCTGGCCGCTCACGCTGGCTGCTGGCTACACATGGTAGCCCATGGCAACCCACTGCCACAGGGGCTGCAGCCTACGCTGTCGCTGGCGACTCACCCCAGCTCCAGGTTGAGCTGTTGTTCAGCATCTTAGCTGTGGAGGGCAGTGTCACTGGCCCTCATATATGGGATCCGAACCGGGGCCCTCTGGCATCCCAAGCCAGTTCTTAACCATCGCGCCACTCGGCCGGCCCCTGTTTTTTGTATTTTTTGGTTTTTTAAATTTTATTGGGAAACAGCGTGTTTTTCCAGGACCCATCAACTCTAAGTCAAGTTGTTTTCAGTCTAGTTGTGGAGGGTGCAGCTGAGCTTCAAGTCAGGTCATTGTTTTCAATCTAGTTGTGGAGGGTGCAGCTCACTGGCCCATGTGGGAATTGAACTGGCAGCCTTGGTGTTATGAGCCTGCTCTCTAACCATCTGAGCTAACCAGCTGCCCTTTTTGCTTACTTTTGAATCAGATTGTCTGTTTTGTTGAGTTATAGGAGGCTTTAAAAAAAAATTCTGGATATTAATCCCTTGTCAGATACATGATTTGCAAATGTTTTTTCCCATTTTGTGGGTTACTTTTTCTCTAGCTTGATAGTGCTTAATATTGATGAGGTCCAATTAATCTTTTTTTTTTTTTGGTCAGCTGTGCTTTTATTGTTATATCTAAGAAATCATTGCCAACTCTAATGTCATGAAGATTTTCCCATTTTCTTCTAAAATTTTTATAGTTTTGGCTGTTTATGTTTAGGTCTTTGGTTCATTTTGAGTTAATTTTGTATATAGTTTAAGGTAAGGGTCCTACTACATTCTTTTGCATGTAGATATCCAGTTTTCCTAGCATCATTTGTTGAAAAGATTTTTCCCTATTGAATAGTCTTGGCACCCTTGTTGAAAATCATTTGATCATATATGTGAGGGATCATCTTAAGCTTTTAACCAGAGAGGTTATTCTTATCTTTCTTCCCAGGCAAAGCTTTATATTTAAAGAAAAGCCATTATTATTATCATCAATATTTATGGGTGTACAAGTAACTAACTATGTTAGATGTTAGGGATACGTAAAGGAGTAAGATATAGACTCTGCTCATGAAACTTGCTGGGGGAGGTAGAATAGCCCTTTAAAAGACAAATACAAATACCGGATAGCATATGCTAATTTTAAAATAAGTGGCACAGAAATTACATGTCTTGGGAGTTCAAAGGCAGCGGTTTTAGAAATGGATACTAAGATACCAGTCAGTATGTATACAAATGTTCATAGCAGCGGTATTCATAATAGCCAAAAAAAATAAAACAGTGCAAATGTCCATCAACTGATGAATGGATAAACATAAGTGGTATACAATGGAATATTATTCAGCAACTAAAAGAATAAAATACTGATGCATGCTACAACATGATGAACCTTAAAAACATTATACATAGTGAAAGAAGCCAGTCACAAAGGGTTATATATTGTGTTATTCCATGTATATGAAATCTTGAGAATAGGGAAATACATACAAACAAAGTAAGTTACTGGTTGCCTAGGTCTGGAAGGGAGGGGAGGGAGAGGAGGTAGAATGGAAAGTGACTGCTAATGGGCATGTCATTTTCTTTTTGCTGTGATGAGAATGTTCTGAAACTGATTATGATGGTGCTTGTGCAACTCTGTGAATACACTAAAAACCATGAAGTTGTATACATTAAATAGGTGAGTTGTATATAAATTGTATCTCAATAAAGGTGTTACTTAAAAAAAATAAATAAACAGCTTCACCAGCCCCATCACTCCTAAAAACAATGTGAATTTTATTGTATGTGAACTACATTTCAATAAAGCAGTTATTTAAAAAGAGAAAAAAATATATACCAATCAGTAATCCAGAAGGAACTACTGTCTAGGCCGATGACCTGTTTCTCTCAGGTTTATAGAATCCTATATGAAGCCATGCAAAAGAGTGGGAAATTTTATGTCTAAGGCAATAGGGAATTATTGAAAGTTTTTGTTTGAAGTAATGATATACCGATACTGTGCTTTAGGACAATTAATACTGGCAGGCCTGGATAGGCTGGCCTGGAATGGAGAGGGAGAAGGAAACCTACCTGCGTGCATAACTGTTAAAATATTCTAGAACAGTGTTTCCCAACAGTGGTGTCCAACAGCATCAGCATCACTTGGGAACTTGTTAGAAATGCAAATTCATGGTTCCCACTCCAGAGCTACCGAATCAGAAACTCTGAATTAGGGTCCAGCAATCTGTGTTTTAATAAATCCTCCAGGTGGTTCTGACGTGGGGGAACAGCTGAGAACCAGTGCTAAAGGACAAAAGTAATGAGTACCTAAAAGAGGGTAGTAATAATGTGAATGGAGACAAGTTCATATATATATGTAAAATATTTCCAGCCAACTATTTAGATTTAAAAGGCAAGAGGAAGAAAGGAAGCAAAGAAAACTCAAAAGTTTTCCTTTGGTATCATTAACAGAAATAGGGAAGGTAGGAAGAAGTGCAGGTACGGGAAGAAAATCAGTTCAAATTTTTACATTCTGAGCTGATTTATGAAGCAGACACTGTTAATTGCCTACCCAGATCCATTTCCCTTGCGTGCCCTATCTTCCTTCTTAACAGAATCCCTTTTTGTTCAAGTGTTCATCATCCATGTGGCCATGTGCTCAGGGGAGCCTGGGCCCCTCCCAAGACCCAAAAAAGTGACTCTTGATTGGCCCAATAATCATGGTTGTCTTAATTAGGTTAGGGATGAGCATGTACCATAATTCTGGCCAGTCATCAATGAGGGGAAATCTGCTGGGGGTCTGACATGGAAGAAGGGGGCTTCCAGTTATCCTTTAAAAACACACAAAGCTGGGTTGTTCCCTTTTCCCTGCCTCTGGATATCACTGAGCTGGAACTGTAATAGCCATCTATTGCATGACCGTGAGGATACTATTTACCAGTGATCTGGAAGTTCTAAATAGTTAAAATTCCAAGAAAAACAAGGAACATTTTGAGGGCTTACTTAGTGTCAAGCATTCTTCCAGGTGCTTTATACATGTAATTAAATTATTAAAATCCACTCTTTTCATCTCACAAAAACCGCATTTTGCAGATGAGGAAGCTGAAACATGGCAAGTTAAGTAACTTGCCCTGACATAAAGTTAAATACTAGGAAATGAAAGAGACAAGATTCCCACAGGTCTTTTGACTTCAGAGCCTACACCCTTAATTTCAACTCTCAACTTACAATGATCAGAAAACAGGGGACCAAATTATAATTATTTGTGGATGCTATGATTGTTTACAAAAGAGAGAAAAATATCAACTCAGATTTAGAAGGCAGACGTGAGGTAGCAGCCATCTTTTAAGAAATATTTGTAGTGTCAGCACAGAGTGCCAGCAAGTGTTGCAGTTGTCTCTTACCTGTGGCTCACCTGAGTGGTGTGAGGTAGCAGCCAGGGTGACAGCAACTCTTAAACTTCTGCCAGATTTTCTTCAGTTTCTCCAACTCCTGAGGAGAGTGCCTAAATAGCTCTTATATAAAAGGCACCAGCTTTATTCCTTGCATTATACCTTCATCATTCAAGTTGTAGGCTTGGCAGAGATATTATAAAAGACCTATCTGAGTTGCAGTCCATCCTATTGATGATCAACTCAGCTTCACAGATTTCAGCTTATTCTTGTCTCTCTCACTTCTCATGCATCTTCTTTTCCTGCCCTGTGGACTACAGGCTCCAGAACCAGACACAGAAACAACAGCCATCAATCAAGATAGTGTAGTAGTGGCATAACAATCAATAATTAGATCAATGGAACAAAATAGAGAGAGAGCCCCAGAATAGATCCACACTTATAAGATCACTTTATTTATTTATTTATTTATTTATTTATTTAAAAGATTTTTATTGGGGAATTAGGGGATGGGAACAGTGCTGGGGAATTGGGGGAAGGGGAACAGACAAGTTGCTGTCCTTTTGTTCTTCAGTCTAGTTGTGGAGGACGTTGCTTCACAGGC